CCCCCAAATCCCACCAGCCCCCGCTATCCCTTAAAAAATGAACGGTCCCTCAACGGAGTCAAATTTGATAGATAGTTCTTCACTGGGAAGTATGAATTTGAGTTCTCATGTTTCTATTCATCGTTTTGTTAACTTTCCCCGCAGAGTTTGGATCGAACATGCGGGCAAATCTGTCGTGTGTGATGAAAAAATAGTTTTGTTGTTTTTATCCAGGCGAACTGGTCGAGCGGGAAGGAAAGGAACTTCATACACCTTTGTCACTTCAGAACAGGGAAGGTAAAGCCAGCGCTATAGATGTTGTCTTGTTTTACGAAATCGCTGAAAAGTTACTAATCAAAGTAGACACAATGCACCATACTCTTCCCTTGTTCGAGAGACGACAATTCGATACTGACGAGATACAGAGATCCGTGTCGTGTGGTGATTGGTTGTTTCTTGTTTCTGAATGTTCGCGCGCAAATAACCAATTACACGGATCTCTGTAGTACTACGTCATCGGTTTGGAATATTTGGGGTCGAATCTTACGCGTCTCTTGAGCGGGAGAAGAACTGAGCTCGAGAAAAGAGTCAGTCTGTTTACATAAGGAAAAGTTGTTAAGTTGAATTGAAGTCTGTCGCCGATTATGTTCTTGTTTTTACTCTCATGACAGGCACGCAGGTGATGTCATTAAGGTAAGAATTTTGCAAGTTTATTTTTGTCTTGTGTTTCTCGTTTTTTTTGTGCGTGTGTGTGTGTTTCTTGTTTTTTTTTTCTCCGACTGGAGATTTTTTGGATTTCTGGGGAATTGTTAGCCAACAGTGTTCCAGATAAGCAAGGGGTCTCAGGTCAAAAACCCGACAAGGTCAGCAACATGACCCGACAAATTAATAGAAAATTTATGATGATTTGGTGGGAGCATTGGAGATTGACCCGTTGGAATTCCTCATTGACACCATACCTTGAAAACTTATCTGGAACCCTGGCCGATAGGGCAGTTTGAAAAAGAGTGCTATTGCAGAGAGGGATATCTTGTCATGGAGATTTCTCTGTTCTTTCCAACATGTGACAGTTCAATATTTTTTTTCTGTGTACAATGTCTAGGCATTGGAATCGTCCACGGCCGAAGTTCCAGATGACTTACGGAAATTATGGCATGATTATACAGAGGAGAGGAAAGCGGTAAGATTCCATTGCCGTCTTTGCTTCAGTGTAAACAGGGTTCGTACAGGTCATGAGAAACCTGGAAAGTCATGGAATTAATAATTTCAATTTCCAGGCCTGGAAAGTCATGGAATTTTAGGGAGGGTCTTGGAAAATGTTGACAATTCTGGATTGGTTGTCATTGCTTGGTTTGAAATGTAGACAGAGAAGTCAAAGTAGTCACGTGACAATGAATTGTTTGTCAACTCTCTGATTGGTTGAGAAGCTTTGAGCCTGTACTTGTAAAAGTCGTTTTTTGTTGACTTTTTTCTTGAATCCCTCGTAGGAAGGAAAGAACGTTGTCAAAAACAGTGGCTTCACCGGAAAAGGTTTGTGCTTTTAATGAGTTCAGGGGAAAAAGTGGAACAATGAGAAATTTAGCATGTGTCTTGAACCTATTAAGATGTGCAATGGTTCATGTTCCGCTCATGCTCAACTTAAAGGACCTACGTCACAGTTTGCGGTTTGTAATCTGTGTTAATCTTCGCCACCATTAACCATCTTTGTTCCTTTTTGATTTATCGTCATTTCTTTGGTGTTTTTTTATCTTAGTAAACTACTATTTTCAGTTTTCCTTCAATTTGAAGGTAATTTTGTACGTGGCCAATACAACTTAAAATACCGTGACTGAGCTCTTTTAATAATATACCAAGAAAATAATCGCAGCAACACTGAGCCAGTTTTAGAAGATCTTCCGGTTCATGTCGGAACTCTTGCGTCACTTGCCGATAACAAACTTTCATGTCATTTTCGCTGCATGTGACAGCAAAACATCGCTTTCAACCTTTTGGAGACGACTTTCTCGAAGTAATTCTCAGTGAAAGACCATTCATTTATTTCAATGCTTTTGCAAAGCCTTTGACATGTTTATGTATAACTGAGTGCAATAGGCAATAACAAAATCTTTTTTACAGGATTCAAGTTTAACGACGAAGAGGCGGCTAAAGTTAACGAGGCGAAAAAGATTCAGAAATGGGTAGGTACATGGTGCTCTTTTAATGCACGCTTTCTAAGGCTGTGTAAACACTTGGCGCCCAACTACTGGTGTCTGGGCACTGACACAAAATAGTGTTGCGTTCAAGTGCCCAAGTCAAGCTCAAGTGCCATTAAGTGGCTAAGTAAAAGGTCGAGACCTTGTACCTGGGCATGGACACTGTGCCTGAATTCTGGGGTGAGTACTTGGAAAAAAAAAAGTGTATTCACATTAGTGCCCAGCAAAAATCCTGCCCAGTTACCGTGCAGTGCTAGGCCACCAATTGTGAACAGAATCTCAAAGAATATGTCAGTTTTCTGCAGGTCGCATATTCTCGTACAACTAAATCAAATCCAATTTTTTTTCCTTTTCTTTACAGGCTCTTGGTCTTCAAGACTCTGATGATGAGGCTGAAGCTGAAGAGAAGGCTGTGGAGGAAGTGAGTCTGGAATTTCTTTGTCGCCAGTACAGTTGAACCTATTTTGAGCTCCCGGGGGAAAAGAAAATAGTTCGAAATAATGGGGAATTCGAAATAACCCAGTTTGAATTAAAGGGGTCTAATTTTCTTGTTTCTTAACGTGTTGTTGCTTTTGTTTTGCTTTTTCTTATTTTTACATCAGATTGACAAACAATTGGATGCTGTGTTCAGTAAAGGAAAACCGCACATCAAGAAAGCGGCGCCAGTAGGAGGCGAACAGATCAAAGGCGAACAACAAGGTAGGAATCGACGGTTAATCTTCGGCAAGTTGTTATGGCAACCTGATAAAGTGCTGGTGGGGGTAACTCTACGATAGACTAGCATCCCTAGCATCCCATCCAGGGGTGGGGATAGCCACAGCCTTAGCAACGTTATGTTACAAAAGTTGAGCACCGAAAGGACTGACCACAGTGTAATACTGTTTTGGGTGAATATTTGATGGCAATGCTGTTCTTGCTCGTGTTTCAGCTAAACTTAACTTGGCCACAAGCATCGCAGCTAAAATCAACCAGAAGATCATCGCCGGAACAAATGTGAGTACAAAGAACAATAAATTCGTTTATTTTGAATGAGCTCTTTCGGGAATAGGAGGGTCGTGACTAATATAGAAGTGGCGAGGCTGGAAATCGAAGGCGTTTATTTGGTTTTAGTGAGTCATCTGAATAAATGATTTTATTTGTTTATCACAGAACATGGACCCGACTCAGCAAGCTGCCAGTCAGATTATCAAAGGAGGAACTGTCACTGCTCTTACCGTGAGTATCAAGTTTTGTCACGCAATGCCTCTCTCAGCGTTACGTGACAACAAACTGCATCTGTAAAAGTTAGAATCAAATATTCGTTCGGCTTCACATGCATGCAAGCGAGGTCAGTGGATCAATTCAATCCTGAAATGAAGCTGTTGCTTCGTTTTGGTTTTAAGCCGCTGACCTCAGTAACTGATAGCTGAGAGAACTATATTACGTGACGCCTCCTGGTCACGGAATTTATTCTCTTCTTCAATCATAGGAGGAGAATCAAATATTCGTTCGGCTTCACATGCATGCAAGCGAGGTCAGTGGATCAATTCAATCCTGAAATGAAGCTGTTGCTTCGTTTTGGTTTTAAGCCGCTGACCTCAGTAACTGATAGCTGAGACGAACTATATTACGTGACGCCTCCTGGTCACGGAATTTATTCTCTTCTTCAATCATAGGAGGAGAAAATTAAACGTTGGGTTTTCAATTTGAATGGAACAAAAAGGTTGGGTTTGCAAACTGGTTGAGGGGGAAGTTTAATATTTCTCCCTGTCTCTTGGTTGGTTCGCATTACATCTGTTGTGTTGTCTCGCATAGGGTCTTGGGCTAGCCAAGCAGCTAGCCGAGAAGATTCATGGGAAGATCGGTTATGAAGCTCCAGTGGAGGAGACAAAGCAGGACGAGAAACAGACTGAGAATGAACAGCGATACGAGGATGAGGTAGAAATCAATGACTTCCCACAGACTGCCAGGTGGAAAGTTACTTCTAAGGTATGTGTAGAGTGCTTTCACCAATCATGGAGGCAAATTATTTAAAAGTACCGAGGCAACATTCATTGCTTTGGAAATACAGAGCTCTCAGAGGAAAAGAGGGAAAAAAATTACAGGTAAATACCGCCATTTCGAACTCTCAGGGGAAAAGAAAAATAGTTTGAAATAGCGAGATTTCGAAGTAGCCGATAGTAAATGACTGAAGGAAGATGGCTTTGAGTTCGAAGTAACGGGGAATTCCAAATAACGGAGTTTTATTAGCGGGGTCCAACTGTCCGTAATTGTATTTTCTTACCACGACTTGCGGAGGCTTAGCTGTTCTATTACAATGTGGATAATCTATAGTTCGTGTATCTTAAAAACTGAAGAAAATATCAACAGAAAGCCAGAGAAGCCAAAAGGGGCAGGGAATGGGAAGATAAGTTAAAAACGTTGGGCCAACATTTTTCAAGTTGATCTCAACTTGTATGAATGTATGAATTTGTAATGCTCAGAAATCATACTTGTTCCCTTTTTTTAACTCCGATTTTACCCCAACGGGACTGTTACTCTGCCAATTTGAAATTTAGAGCTCATTACTATCAAAACTAAACAGAATTACCTAAATTACCGCAACTTAGCCCCTTTAACTTTTGCTACCTGTTCATTGAACTTGTAGGCATTATAATGACACCAACAAGAGAGCTTGCTCTTCAAATCTACCGCGAATGTAAGAAGTTTTGCAAGCCGCTTAATCTGCGAGTTGTCTGTGTTTATGGTGGCACAGGAATCAGTGAGCAGGTGAGTGGTGATCTTGCATCAGAAAATGTTTCTCAATGTTTCTAAGGCCCCATTAGTGGTGGGCGGGTCTGAGTATCCAATATCCTGTTAGTTTTTGGCGTAAACTACATTCCGTATTCTGTTAATTCCAATTGCAAAAATGAACGATTTTCCAGAATTTTCGGTTGAATGGTTCACTCTTCTGAAATTCAACAATTTCCGTATTTTTCTGGAAACTTTTCCAGGAAATATTTCTGTACCATTTGCCACCGTTTCGAAAATTTCGGAATTGTTGGTTGAATGAAAAGCGCCCAAGGTCCTGAGTACTACATGTAGTTCTGTTTTTCCCGTTTCAACTCTTTTTTTTTCTTACATTTTTCATCCAGATTGCAGAACTAAAGCGTGGAGCAGAAATTATTGTTTGCACTCCTGGTAGAATGATCGACATGCTGACAGCCAATAATGGTAAAAGATGTTACTGTTAGCTCATGTTATTCTTAAGCAGTTAATGTTTTGTTGTGTTACATTTTGTGAAGTGTTCATCATACAACGCACGCTTTGATTTGTTGTGATGCTTTGTAACCACACAGTTGTATAGCCTGATGGAACCAGTTAAGAAGTTTGGGAGAATTCAAAAGTATATAGGTAAACCCTAACCTGCGGCTCAAGTGAATTCTCCTAAACTTTCCGTCAGATTTTGCAAACACATGAACCATTTCGTATTAAAATCCCA